GTGACAGCTAAATTACAAGGTACTTAAATCCATAGCCTTTAAAAACATGTTTATTGCTCTTAAAATCACATGTCTCGCTTTTCAGACTCCCTATTACACACTATAATACGCTAATTAAACCACTATTGAGACTGTAATCACTATTATTCTACAGTAAAGGTGATGAGACCCCACACCTGCCTGGGCACATGACATTTTACTGTCAGCTTTAACACGTTATATGTTACAAGACTGGCGGAAGTTACCGAGTTCTCTGGATATAAGAAATTAATTAAATCTACTAGTTTCTATGTAGAACTGTAAAATGAACTTTGGAAGTGCGTATTATACATATAATGATCTGAACTGTTTCAGGACCTGCATAACCCAAGATGGTCGAACTTGATCTGCGATACTTATAGGTCAAATCATACATCGAATCAGTCAAGCGACCTTTAATTAAGTAACGAAAATTTAAAAGCGTGGCTTAAACATACGATTGTCATGATAGTACACAGTTGTATTGTGTCAATTTGTCGGAAGTGTGATCTGTTGTACAGAGCATATACTTACGAAAACGTGTACATTTTGTTTGGTCCTAATGTGAAGACTAGGCATTAAATAACTCATTCACATGTTATATATCCTATATTAGGTATGTTCCGGGATTCCATTTCTCGCGGTGGACAGAACGAATATCGCCAAATATGTAGATTTGAACAAAAGGAAAGAACAATAAACATGTTTTAGGCCTTTAAGACTATTGTCCTGAAAAAAAAAAGCGTTATCCAAAACTTTTGTCAATTTTTTTCTGCCTAATGATATCTGAAAATAACTCTCATATACTGAAATGAGTTAGTATATGACTTAGTATGAGTTAGTTCAATTGATAGTTGGTGCGCTTTTCTTGAAAACGTTGAGAAATATTTTGTTGCTAAACAGACTGTATGTAAAGTAGCGTACAATTTCATATATGCTAGTGCGACATTGATTTTTCCCTATCAAGCACAAGGTTTTGCTACTAACAAAATATGCGTATGAGATACACAGCACAAAAAAAAAAAACAACACACACACATACAAAACAAACAAACAACAAAGTCTACCTTAATGTACAAAAGACGTGAACAAAGTAATAACGAAACTGAAGCATATCTTATTTTTTAGATTAAATTGGATGACTGCTCAGGCATTAGCTTTGAAAGTACGTTAATACGCGTAGCAAAAAACAAAATAAAACTAAACTAAAAACCGTGACGTCAATCGATAACATTTTACGTAAAAGGTGGATAAAATAGGTAGAAAACTTGTTATAGAATATACATCGAAACTTTCCAATTACTGAAGCTCGGATTATATATTATCGCATTAAGTGCTTCGGGCAGCCTGTAGATACGGAAATGCTAATTTTGTCATAATAATAGTTGTCCTATAGTTTCATAGCACTAAGTTTGTCATAATAATAGTTGTCCTATAGTTTCATAGCACTAAGTTTGTCATAATAATAGTTGTCCTATAGTTTCATAGCACTAATTTTGTCATAATAATAGTTGTCCTATAGTTTCATAGCACTAAGTTTGTCATAATAATAGTTGTCCTATAGTTTCATAGCACTAAGTTTGTCATAATAATAGTTGTCCTTATAGTTTCATAGCACTAAGTTTGTCATAATAATAGTTGTCCTATAGTTTCATAGCACTAAGTTTGTCACAATAATAGTTGTCCTATAGTTTCATAACACTAAGTTTCAAGTGTAAATAACAATGATACCACTTGATGTAAACTTATAGACTTTACAGTGATGCTTAAATTGGTGTTGATTTTTCATTACTGAAGATAGTAGTTATCTTGCCTGGTTTTAGATTAACCCAAAGATATAGAAGCTCATTATATTTGAAAAATTGTTTTAATGTGATTTACCATATTAATTTTTTTCCTAAATCATTTCGAGGCCCGGCATGGCCAGATAGTTAGGGCACTCGACTCGCAATCTGCGGGTTCGAATTCCCGGCTCATCAAACATGCTCGTCCTTTCAGCCGTGGGGGGAGTTATAATGTGACGGTCAGTACGTTAATGAATAAACCTATAAATACAAATAATTAAATCAACAGTTTTAACAATTTCAGTTTCATATAAACTCAAGCACATTTTATATTTTCATTTTCATAAATTTACCAGTATATCAAAAACGATCTAAAAACATGTTGATACTCACATGTGAGTTTAAGCTTTGAAAAAATGGCAACAATTCTGGCCAATACGGCCATTGTTAATACTTATCGATTTATTTATCCACATTTTTTTGCACTGTATTCATTTAGTGCTATTTCTAGTAGAAAAAACTGAGTAACATTTAAACTTATATGCAAATGTTGTGTACCTATTTTCCGAAGCTTCCGTTGTGAGGGAGTTAATATTCAATGAATGGCACTGTCCATCATTGAAACAAATTTAACCTAAGGTTAGAGTTAAATCGACGTTTTGTATTTGGTTTGTTCTTCTGGTTTTGACATTTAATGGTGTAATCAAACCAGTTGACGAGCTTTTATTAATCCGATGTATAATTAATGAACAAACTGTGTTGTTTCTCTTATTTAACCTTTATTTTCTAATTCTTGACAAACGTACCCAAGTGTTGAATTTGGTTTTTCTACAGCGATCTTTGGCATTTTCTGTGTAACGTGGGAACGTCACATAAAGTGATCGATACTTTTAAATAATTTTGTTACCACTAGCGCTTTCTAGGAGCAGTTAGAATGTTTAGTATCCTGTTTTTGAAACCTATACAAAACTTTGGTCTTTTGTCTTCTACAAAGTATTAATTGTATATAAAGAGCATTTATTTTGTGGTTTCCTGCCGCATTCGCTCCAAGCAGAAACCGGGTTTCGATACCAGTGGTGGGCAGAGCACGGATAGCCCATTGTGTAGCTTTGTGCTTAACTCCAAAACAAACAAACAAGTTAGACCTAAAGGTCGTCCATTTTCATTTGTATACAACGTAGCTTTTACGGGCACCTTAGTGGCATATAAAAGTATGTTTATTGAATTTAATTGCTCATCTTTTAGGGCGTTGACATAAAAGTAGTTTAACTTTTAAATGAATCAGCTTGGAATTAACCTCAATCATTTATTTATTGTTTCTAACACCATCTAGTGGTCATCGTGCATTTCTATATAAACACTTTTTAATAAATCAGTCAAGTGATAACTGGTAGTCAATCACCTGAGCAAGTATAATACAGAATCGTTCTCAATTATACGACCTGGTGGTTAGGTCACTCGACTCGCACTTCGAATCCAATTACCGAACATGCTCGCCCTTTCACGCGTGGAGACGTTAGAATGTGACTACCAATCTCACTTTTAATTGGTGAAAGAGTAACCCAAGCGTTGACAGTGGGTGGTGTTGATTATATACCTTCCCTCTAGTTTATCACTTCTTAGTGTGGCTAGCTCAGATAGCTCTCTAGTATCTTTGCGCGACAGTCAGCAAACAAACAAATAATTACGTTCTGTGAACAGAAAATAAAACTACGACCAAAGCAAAGTTTCAGCGCCAAAAGGCAACATGTTTATAAGCAGTTTTTATTTTTATACGAAACAGAAAACAAGACAAACGAAATAAATAAGAAAGATTTTAAGGTTTGGTTTTTTTTATTTCGCGCAAAGCTACACTAGGGCTATCAGCGCTAGCCGTCCCTAATTTAGTAGTGTAAGACTAGAGGGAAGGCAGCTAGTCATCACCACCCACTGCCAACTCTTGGGCTACTCTTTAACCAACAAATAACAGTTTTTTAAGAAAAAAGTCTGCTTGAGCGGAACTTAGTGACAAAATGTCATTTTCTAACGAGTTACCAAGAGTATCTTTAAAATTTAGTAGTCGCGAACTGGAAACAATCAATGTATATTTTCAATGATATTTTTAACAGAAGCTCGTTTAAAATATATACTGATTGATTTAACGAAATATATTATAAATTCTCTTCTTTCTTTTCTTTATTCCTGTAAACTCCCAGTGGAGCATAGGGCCGCAACAACACCTCGTCAACGGAAGTTGTTGTTGCAGTTACTTGTAGGAGGTTGGTTTTTACGGGGTGGAGTTGCTAGCCCCACGCCCAACCCTCCTCCTTTCTCATCCTGGACTTGGGACCAGGCAAAGGCATGATTACGAGTCGAGCGCCCTAACCACCTGCCCATGCCAGGCCTGAATTATAAATTCTAGTAGTAATTAATAGCAAATTCTTTCCCCTCCTGGTGGCTCAGCGGTAAGTTTAGGGCTTATAACGCTAGATATAGAGTTTCGATACCAGCGGTGGGCAGAGCAGCGATAGTGTAGCTGTGTATTTAGAAAGAAACAAATAACTTCTTTACATACGAAATTTAACATTCTAATTAAAATAAAAGTAATTTTAATTGAAATATACAGTAATTAAAATAATTTGATGTATTGGTCATCAATAAATATCAATACACGGTAGTATGGAGGTATTGAGAAGAGGATCACCTGCTTATATATATATATCTATCTGAAACCACAGATAACTTAAATGAATCTCTTAAACTGTAGCTTTCATCCTTGACAGTTTCTTTCAACATGTATTTTTTCCAACACTCGAGTCATATCGAGGTTCAGAATACATCCACTGATTGAGATATTATTCTAGTTTTGTTGCTATGGTAACTCTTCATCTTTTATATTGATTGTTTTAAGAGAACAGTCGTCATCATCGAATATAAAAAATTAGAATGCGACTGGGTTCATGATAATTTCCCAAGTGTGACACTAGGGCGCTAATGCTAGTAAGATATGCATGCGATAAAAGAAAAAAATGCACTGAGGGCTAATGTTTGATATAATAGCCAAAAAAAAAAAGAAAACTTCATCAAAGTTATATTTTGCCAGAAGAGCACCTTTATATGTTTATATTTTGCTTTTGGAGAATATTTTTATAAGGATACATATCAATTACTTTGACTTTTAATAAATTTTAATATATGTATATATATTTTTTTTTACAGTTAACGATGATCATCACACTGTCCGAAAGATCCAGAACTGGAATATTTTTATGACGGTGTTTCTGTGTTCTCGTGGTCAGTCCAAGAATGCCACATGCTGTCAAGTCGGGAATCTTTCACTGGAAAAAGAAACCGGCTCTTCAGTATGGCGTCCAGATGGCGCTGCAAACTATCGTTTTTTGTATTTTGTTCTCCGCCCAGCAGCACGATGGCTCTATAGGTGGCGTTGCTGTTGCCTACGAGAACTCCAAAATTTTCAAGGTTGGTGCAGTACTCAGTAACGGTGATAATATTGCTTACTTGTATCAAGTGGTCGAGGATATAACCTATGAACCTGATATCCTGCCACCAGGTGTTACTCTACACGCGGTATTTATACCCATGAACCCAAATCCTATTCGTACAGCCCAGAAAGTGTGTGACGATTTGATATCAGCGACGGTAAGTTGAATATATATATATATATATGAAGTATTACTTTTATGTCATAAAATTTATTAGAAGGATCAGATTTTAGAGTAATAGCTTATGTGTGTCATGAAAAA